GTGTGTGTGTGTGTGTGTTTTAAACCTCACTACAGGCAGATATGAGGAGAGACTGTGGGTGGTCAGTGGCTCTTGGACTCATCGCAACCGTGTTCTTCAAGTGAATACGCACACGCTGGTATTAAGCCCCCAAGTCTTTGTCTCGCTGGCTGCAGTTTGAGGTGACACCAAGCCGGAGTCATATATCGTTAATCAGAGCAGAATTTTTGGACTTTTGAAGTTTTTCAAATAACCTTTATCTATTGATGCTTGCCGGGACGATATCATCCGTGGGACTGAGGTGAGCCTCATCTCCAATTCACGCTGTTAACAAAGAAAGTCGTGAAACTGAACCGTCTCCGCCTCACGCTGAATTTTCAGTGTAGTTTGTGTGAGCACGGGGCCTCGCTAATAAATTCGTAAAGTCACTTCTGTCTGATGTTTCACGGTGCAGCAGATAAAAATGGCAGGCCGTCGCTCTTGCCAGCAGCACCTCGTCATAGGAGAGATGACAGGAACTGTCCGTGGTGCTGAAACAGACAGCTCCTTTGTTCAACTCTGGGCAGAAATGTTCGGTTGCTGCTGTAGGCTAACTCTCCTCGGCTTGTGTCACATTTTGTGTGTTAAATACTTGGACAGCTAGTGAGTCACACACACATGTTGCATCTATCTATCTATCTATCTATCTATCTATCTATCTATCTATCTATCTATCTATCTTAGATTGGGACAGGATCACAGCCTTTGCTTTAAATGGCATCATCGTGTCTGCTGAGTGGTGTTAAAATCCATTAGCTGATCACCATAAAGTGGGGCTTCTCTTGGCCATGTGATCAATTGTTTTTTCTTTCTTTTTGTAAATGAAAATAACAGCTATTGACACCAGAAATAAGCCCAACACTAAAAGCAGACACAAAGAGCAATTATGCCTCACTATGGTGCTGTAACTGTAAAATGTCAGTTTCAAAGAAATAATCTCTTCTCAGTCTTTCCATGTTTGCAACACATACACACACAAAATATGCTTTCAAATAAAACTTTTATTTTTAAGCCAGTTTTATCAGTTTTTCCAAAAATGAAGTACTTTCTTTATAATACAAACGATTGTGTTCTTGGGGGAAAAACAGCATGTCTCCTGCTTTATTTTCTTTTTGGATTCCACAGAGCTAAGCACACAAAGTCTCTTACGACACATTTGGTGCTAAAATGTGTTATAAACACAGTTGTGGCGTTGATATACAGCCCAAGTGGAAATCCGATTATCTCTGGTGGGGATGGGGGGTGTTGTGACATCTAGTGTGCGCTGAATGATTGACTGTACTGTTTATCTGTGATTACTAATAATATTCACATCAGTGTATCAAAATGTCATTATGTGATAACAATCTTGATACCAAGTTCAAGAAAGACATGCTGATCAGTGCCCAGTGGGACCACAGCAAGCTGATTTGTTTGCGTGTTAATGGTCATCTGGTATGGGGGGAATCGCTAGTACAGACTTCCTGAAGTGGTCTTTCGTTGGTGATGAATGGCGTGTGTGTTTTCCCCTAACGCTGATTGAATTAGGCCACCCTGCAGTTCCATTGCTTTCCCTAGGAGCAAAGGCGATCCTGCAGTGAAGTTTATCAATAAGCGGGTGGATGGAGTGTAAGTGGTAGTGTTGCCGGGGGCAGACAGCCGGTCATGAGGAGGGGGAACACGCTTAGGGAGAGTCCCACTGATCACACGGCAGATTGGGAGCCCTTGGTGCTAGCGTCTGTCGGTCCCTGCCGTAGGGGAAGAATGAGCAGTGGAGCCACACAGAGCTGACCTAGAACCACACACTGGGCCAACTTCAGGTCAGCATCCTGGGTGAAGGCAGCTCAGTTTAGCTCTTTTTCTTTTTCTTTTTCTTTGTGGTTTTCTTTTTTTGGAAGCATTTTTCTGTGTTTCTTTATCACAAAATATTCGGTCAATTTACCACAGTTGTGATCAGGTGCTGAACATGGTTGATTCAGAACAAAGCGTCTAGCGAGCGCAGCATTTTGATGGCTTTGTTTTGAAGGCTGGTTGCTTTGATGTGGACCCCCATGAGGCCACTGGCAGCTGAGCTCCCACTGTGGCAGATTGATATTTGTAATTTAAGGGAAGCTGTCACACAGCATCCTCCAGATGGAGAGAGCCGCAGAGGCACGCAGTCGATTAAACACGGTTTGTTTAGGAATAATCATTTTGTTGTGGGAGCTGAGGATTCATTTGAGGCATATTGGCTCTAAGGTTCAAAATGCTCAATTATATCCTTACACACACACAAAATCACAGCATAATAACACATAGATATAGCGTACAGAGTGGTGTCAGGGAAGCTTTTAGCTTTTAGCCTGTCAGTTATCTGATGAAATCGTTCAGATCGCCACATCACAGTAGAAAGGACAGGTCAGTGATTTGTGTCCCTGCTGCAGAAAAGGTTGAGTAAAGGTTGCGAGCCAATTCATTAATTCACTCACTAGAGTGTGCGCACATGCACATGCACGCATGTACTTGCATGCTGTTTTAGTCACTGGACTATTGGAATTGATATCTGGGGGAAGGGTCATGTTTTAAAGAGCCATCTTCTTCCTGTCACATTGATTGACAATAAAGTAACAATAAACATCTCAGAGAGAATACTGCTTGATTAACTAGCCTTCAAAGGAACCATACGTGGACAATAAATCACGTTTTCATCTCACAAATTAGGACGATGGCATTTAGATGCCGGTTTGAAGACCTTCCAGCTTGAACTCATGACATTCCTGCTCATAGGTCTAACTGGTAATGTCAAATCCCATGAGGAGTTTAAGAGCAGTAATTTATATATTTATGTGGTATTATTATAAATGATCCACTGTTATTGTGTATGAAGTGTTTGAAAAAGGAGGGAGAAAATGAGGCTGGGGTTGGAAAATGCTATAAAACATAATGTGATACAATATCACAGATATTGACAGTATTTATGACACTTTAGAATATACATTTTGCCTCTGATATATTTTCATTGTAAAATGCTCTCCCAGATCAAATATCAGTAAGATGATAATAGTCAAGATGGCATTAATTCATTTATCATTCATATCGACTTGGGCGTGGTGAAGGATGACGAGGCCAAGCTGATGCATCTAGACAATACAGCATGGTATTCAAGCATCTTTAGTTCTATGGCCAGACTGGGCAACTGCAGTGTTGTACTCAGTTTTTAAGAATGCCAAATGTTTTTCTATCAGCCAGTCATTTACGCCCTTTCTTGTAATTATACCATATTTTTTCCAGTTGCTTCAGTTTCTCCCACCATAACAAATGCTGAGCTGGTGCTGCCTCTTTACCCAGGACAATCTTGTAAAAGCAAAAAAGGGTAAAGGTTATTTAAAAATGAATAGATTTGATCCATGTTGCATTTTAAGTGCCAGTTCATAAAGAGTTTCAATAGGCATGTATCAAATTTGAGGTTAAAATTGTTAAAAACGCTTTTTATTTACTCCATTTACTTGTTTTGTTTAAGAGGACCATGGCACATTTACCCTTCCTTATTATCATGGCAGTTTAAATATATGTGGTGCTTTTAGTTGGTGCTAATACTTTATGGTAGATAAACAAGAATGAGGGTGCAGCAATTGAGGTATTTTACAAGAACAAAAGAAAAAAAAATAATTTTGTTGATTTTGTTTTTTATAAATAGGAGATGAAGAAAAGTCCTTATCACATGTTTATACAGGTGAATAGTAAAAGTCCTTAGTCGACAGCAAAACAATGATTATGCAATCAGATTAGGAAGTTTAGCCACTCCAGCAGTCCTGAAAGTACGGCATATTTGCAGTGTAG